CTCTGCATCTGATTGGTCAGAAGACGAACTGGGGGATTATCTGATAGATGGTACGTTACTATAAATTGACATTTGAATTTATTTTCGTATAGATGATGGATGTCCTGGGAATCATGAGCCATCTATGAAAAAGTTTTAGATTTTCTTTAGAAAGTTTTACATTGTCCTTTGCCTTTTGAAATTTCTTTTGTTCATAAACATTGACCATACATGATCTACCAGATAAGGACCTTGGTAACATATCAAAATGGAAAGAACCCTTGAAGGAGGAGGGAAGAAAGAGGAAACCCAACTTGATGCAAATTGTGTATGGTGCATCGGGATCATCAGATACTGGGTTGATAAATGAGAACCATGTAATTAGTGATGATGAAGAAAGTGATGATGAAGACTTCTTTAAGCCAAAAGGAGAACAAAGCAAGGTTTGTCATTTCAATACAGTACCAACTTTGGTGAACCTTTGTTCTGAGAAGGAATTATCTCAAACTTCCGGTTTTCTATTTTTTTATCTACTTACAGAAATTAGGTGGTGGATGGGATGTGGGATATGTCAACTCAGAGGATTGTTCCAAATTTGTGAATTATGGAAACCTGAAGAATTGGAAAGAGAAAGAAGTTTGTGAGAGCATTCGTGATCGATTTACCACTGGTGATTGGTCAYWAGCTGATCTGAGAAATKAAAAGRTAGGTGCTGYCGATGAGGGAGAAGATGATYAACRTTATGGTGATTTTGAGGATCTAGAGACAGGAGAGAAGCATGATAGCCATGAGAACATGGAGTCAGGTGCAAATCAAAATGAAGATGCTGAAGTAATTGAGCGTAGGCTAAAAAAGCTGGCTCTCCGAGCAAAGTTTGATGCAGAATATCCTTTTTTACTTGTGTGGCATTATTTAAATTATTTAAGCTCGATATCATTTGCTGTCATTCATCTCTGTGTTAGGCCAACAATTTATTTGCTGTCTGTGTTTATTCTCTGAAACAGCTCGCATGAAAATATGGTGAAAAATTCCAGCTGTGTCCTAAGTTCATATATCACTATTGGTCAGTGAGTTTGTTGGTTGCTGTTTGCATATTCTTCGTCTGCATGTTGGTATTTGTCATATTTCGTTTTATGCTACTGCTTCAGTTTGCACTTTGACAAGTTACTTTTGGTTCAACCTTAACGTCATTGTACAAGCAATAAATCCGAGTTAGTGGAGGATGACAATAGTAAAGGTGATGAGAACAACCTCCATAATAGTCAAGTCAAGGAACCAGGATATGTTGACAAAGTAAGTAACTTTTTCTTCCTGCAGCTAAGGTATCTATTCTCTGTTGTTTACACAGTCTATTTGCTTTCCAGTTGAAGGAGGAGATTGAACTTAGAAAACAGATGAATTTGTTAGAACTCAATGATCTTGATGATGATACCCGAATTGAGATAGAAGGATTCCGGACTGGAACATACGTGCGGCTGGAGATTCACAATGTTCCTTATGAGATGGTTGATTGCTTTGATCCATGTCATCCAGTTCTGGTTGGAGGTATTGGTATCGGTGAGGATAATGCTGGATATATGCAGGTAAGGTTACAGCCATCTTCTCATTTCTGACCTAAAAGAAAGCTGAATTAAGTATTTCATTTCATCATGAAATAATTTTTATCTAATTTAAAATAAGCTGAAACATGATTGTTTATTTGAGTATTGCTTATTGTGTCATATGTTGTCCTTAGGCCCGGTTGAAGAAACATAGGTGGCACAAGAAAGTACTGAAGACAAGAGATCCCATTATTGTGTCTATTGGATGGAGACGCTATCAGACTATTCCTGTATACGCCATTGAAGATCGCAATGGCAGACATCGAATGCTCAAGTATACTCCAGAACACATGCACTGCCTTGCTATGTTCTGGGGTCCTCTTGTCCCACCAAACACTGGCTTTGTCGCTTTCCAGAACCTGTCAAACAATCAGGTATGCGAATGCACTATGCTGCTTGAGATTTTGATCCAATTTTACCTTTAGAGTGTGTTTGAACTTTTGTGATAGAGTATCTATTTTGGTAAATAGAAGTGCATTTTCATATAATGGGTAGTGTGAGTTTAAGGGTAGTATGCATAACTAAGTGTGCATTGAAAACGGCTGTTTCCTCATGTAAATATGCTTCCCTATCAGTCCATTCTGCTCCATTGTTCAGTGTTGAGATATCGTGCAACTGCAGTATTTCATCCATTAGTGGTGAAATATATATACTTTTTGGTTAGAAACCCTTGATGGCCCACATTTCGTTAAAGCGAACTTAACTGGTTGTCACTTGGGTTAGATATGTTGTATTCCTCTACCACTGAGTAGCTCTCGTGGTGTGTGCTTCAGGCAGGATTTAGGATAACAGCGACTTCTGTAGTTCTTGAGTTCAATCACCAAGTCCGCATTGCAAAGAAAATCAAGCTGGTTGGGCACCCCTGCAAGATCAAGAAAAAGACTGCATTTATCAAAGACATGTTTACCTCTGACCTTGAAATAGCTCGATTTGGAGGTGCGTCTGTCCGGACAGTTAGTGGCATTAGAGGACAAGTGAAAAAGGTATGCTTTTGATCTTGTTGTAATTCCTAGTTTCTCACTTGCTTAATCTTTACGGTCACCTCTACTTTAGTTTTTCTTCATTTGTTGGCTCTCCAGTTTTATAACAATCTCCATTTGTCAGGCTGCGAAAAACATGCTCGATAACAAGGCTCAAGACGGGATTGCGAGGTGCACATTTGAAGATCAAATCCTAATGAGCGACATAGTCTTCTTAAGGGCTTGGACCACAGTAGAAGTCCCACAATTTTGGAATCCTCTAACTACTGCCTTGCAACCCCGTGATAAGACCTGGAAAGGGATGAAAACTTTTGGCGAACTCCGTAGCGAGCAAAATATTCCTATTCCGGTGAACAAGGATTCACTCTACAAGGTACAAAAAATTGCCCATAAATGCGGTAACATTGTGTAGGAAGGAAACCCAAAGGAAAAGCCTATTACCACTAATTCTTCTCATTTGTGTAACAACTTTTGCAGCCTATCGTAAGGAAGACAAGGAAGTTCAATCCGTTGGTGATTCCAAAGAAACTACAAGAAGCTTTACCGTTTCGATCGAAACCCAAAAATGTACCAAGGCGTAAAAGACCAACACTAGAGAATAAAAGAGCTGTTGTAATGGAACCGAAAGAACGAGAAGATCATGCAAGGCTCCAGCATTATCAGCTGATAAATAAAGTCAAGGTAGAGTTTTAAAAACTATTATTAGTAAATGCTTATGCATAATCTTTGATTATATCTTCTCTGTTCTTATAAAAAAATGAAAAAAAATTGT